CCATGGATTATTACACCAGATAAGTACAATTGCCTCTGAGGTCAAATTAACAAGCTTCACATAGTCATTTTTCTGTCATCTCCAGTCATAGCTAAGAGGGAAATGAAAACCGTAGACCCTGTGCTTCGCTATATGACACTTGTATGCAATACAACATCATCCTCATTTCCCCAGGAAAGAAATTAAGCAGGAGAATTTTGCAAGAGTCTCCCCTCCCTAAAGTTCATTTCCCATGACCTCCACATGTGTCCAAGAGCGTTTCTCAGCTCTGCTCTGCAGGCAGGAAATGCACCGATGTCAAAGGTCGAGGCAATGCCTACGACAACAGAGACTTTAATTACAGTCAGACTGTCTTGTAAACAAACATACAACTAGAGACATATTTAGACACACAACCTCCAAATCTTCACTCATAAACAGCCCAGTCTGCAGTAACAGATCACACGAATGCTGTTCCTGCTCAATGCATTACATTCATTCATTTATTTTCAGTAAAATAGTTTGTTCCAGACCTCACATGATTTTTCTTCACATAGAGCTGGAATGTGCAATCAACTGCTTGCAGGTTAAAGAAAACTGGAAAAACTTTAGCTAACTTTTCTCCTCATTCCAAGCTTTAAATATGAAAGAACAAACACACGTGTATAACGTATTACAGTCTTTCAATTCACTTTCCTATCAGACTCAGATATCTACACCTACTGTATAACTGTGAAATTTCTATAAAACGTTTTCAAAGTTCTTTCCATGTGCTTACTTTCTATCTGTCAGCCTTCTGCAAAATCCCTTTACAAACAAAAGCCAGTTTGCATAATGACATCAACCTCCAGGAAGTTTTGATGGTTAAACAGCACAAATGTCAGTGCATATTAGAAATTGCCACAAAATTGCCACTTTTAAAGCATTCCAACCTATTTGATCAAATTACAAATCTGTATGATAATATCAAAACTTTAAAAGATGTTCAAAACCAATATGACAATGACAATTAACAATGACAAACTCATGCAAACCAACTCTCAAAGTGTCCCTCGGCTCTTTATTTCCATCCTCTCGACTGCATGCCGTTGTAAAAATTGCAAAAAAGTTATAAAATGGAAATGTTAAAGAAATACTTCCTTTATTTACAACACAAGCATATTCATGTCATGTTCAACACAAACTGAACAACACAAATGACACAACTAAAGAGATCAAACCCAGAGCTAATGAGTAAATCGTTCAGTGCTTACGGTGTACCTTCGGTCAGGCGGTCGGCTGTGTGCATCGCCATCCATCCCTGCTGCAACCTGCACGGCTCTGAAATCCCTGGCACTGTAGGACAAAAAGCAAACACTACTGACTCATGGTACAGCCTTAAGGGAGTGCTAACAGATGGAGAGGTTAAACTAGATGAGTCAGTTCTGCAGAAGGTGGTGCATCCCTTCCCATTTTACATGCCACTGTGTCAATAATAGGCATGGTTGGCTTGTTGAAAAACAAACATCTTGGTCTCAAACCAGTCTGGTTTAAAAATTTGGCGTGCTGGTCTCCCAGTTGGTTTTAGAAGGGCTCTGGCCACCTTTCATCTGGTCCAGCTTAAAGACCAGCTTTAAGACCAGCAAACCAGTTTAGGCTCTTTTAAGTTCTTTCAGCAGGGTGTGTAGAGGTATTTTCCCAAGGAGGGAGGATCTTTACTGTCAGTCAACATTTTATTTAGTCACAGCTACAGATATGAAGCTTTTTTTACCTAGTTATTTATTTTTGGAGCATGCAGTCCTAGCTAAGTTAGTCTAATAATATGGTTTTTGCACAAACACAATAAGACCAGAGTTCGAATCCCGCTTCAACATATAATTTTTCTTTTATAAGCCACACAAACTTGCTAAATGAACTGGTTACACTTTACTTGAAGGGGTGTGCATAAGACTGACATGACACCTTCATAATCATGACATGACACCTACATAATCATGACATGACACATGTCATGAATATGAAGGTTTTTTATGCATGTTTATGACAACTGTCATTAAGTGTCATTCGCTCAGTTATGTAATTTTTAATGCAAAGATGACATTGTTTGAGATGTCTTTGTTATGGGCTATGGTTAGGGGTAAGGGTAGGGGTAGGGTTAGGTTAGGGTTAGGTCAAATAATGTCATATTTGCATTAAAAATGACATAACTGAGCGAATGACACTTAATGACAGTTGTCATAAACATACATAAAACCTCCTTCATATTCATGACATGTGTCATGTCATGATTATGAAGGTGTCATGTCAGTCTTATGCACACCCCTTCAAGTAAAGTGTTACCAATGAACTTAATAGCCAGCGATCACTCTTAAGTTGTGTCACATGGAAAATGACAACTTTGGCATTTTGATAACTTCCTTTTGTATTCAACATAATTTTTTTTTTACCAGTTTAAATAGACATGACGCTTAATCAGACGCAAACTTTGCATGGCTGACTGTCAAGAAGAAGTCAAAATCATCACTTGAAGCCCTAATAGCTTGACATTTTTTTAGTTATACTATTCCTTTATTCAACAGACCATGTCTAACATGACTAAAAAACAAAAAGGAAAAAAATTAATTAGCCGGTATGACTTAATAAACTCAAGTTCGAATCCCATTTTCCAACTGCTTTTGTGTTTCACATAGAAAAAAAAAAGTCATAATAGTTTAAATAGAAATGAGGCTTGATGCAGTTTGGGTTGCTGAGAAACTGTCAAAGTCATGATCCAAGTCTTCTGAAGCACTATAATAGCTTGACAAAAATTTAATTTTGGGGTAGCCTAAACTATAGCCTACCTTTAATCATAATAATAGACTACATCTAACATAAATAAAAATGTTTTTAATAAATTAGCCATGATTTGCGTTCAAAACAACTCAAGTTCCAATCCCGATACGACATACGTTTATGAAAACAGCAAATAAAAAATGATGTTAAATGTCAAAATTAAGTCTTCCGGAGGTCTACAATATCATGACAACAAGATTGCATTTTTTGTGGTAAAATATTGCTTTAATGAAAACGACAGATTACCTCTAACATGCTTGAAACATTTTTTTTTTTTTAACAAATTAGCGGAAAGATTTGCTTCCAGGCGACCAAAGTTCGAATCCCCACTCGACACGTATTTTTATAAACCAAGCAAAACAGCATATAAACTTGACAGTAGTAGGTGATCACTAGGAAGAAAATCTGCCGTTTTATCCATAATCCTTTTTTGTTTCACGAATAAATAAGTCAAAATAGTTTGAATGAGCATGACGCCTCAATCTTACCTTGATCGCCCTTGAACTTTGGCGCGGCTGTCAGCTGTCATCAGTCTCGCTACCGATACGTCAAAACAGCATCAACAACAACAGCTTCAGCAGCGCCTCTCCAGACTTAAAGCACTGCTTATAGGTCCCTGCATAACTTCTGTCCCGTTACCCTCTTAAAATCCTGCAACTCCCACCATATTTCCAAGAGTCCTGCCCCTGTCAACAGACGCTCCTCTGTTTCTATTCAACCGAGAGAGAGACGGCAGCCCTGCATTTTCAAGTCATGACACGATGAGTTAGTCACTGCCAGCCCTCCCATCCTCACACTGGATTCATCGACTGTTCACACTCCGGTTTGACGGTGGAATGCGAATTTGCATGTCGCCCCCGACTAGAAAAGTCTCAACAAAACAGTGAATGTGCTCAAATCCCACGTAATACCATGCGAGACAGTTGTTTATTTGAGTGGATAAATGCATATTAAAAACTTCTCAAACGCAGCACAATGTAAATACGGTTGGGATGTGTTAAGCAAATGCCAATTATGATAATTTAAGTACATTATCTCGGATTTTAGATATACAGTACACTGCCTTGTCGTGGCGGACCACTACTTGTGAAATAGCGACATCTAGTGATAGTAAAGATGTAGTGCATGGTTTTCACAACACTCCAAAGAGAAAGGAAAAATTGAAATTGGATCATATGACCCCTTTAAAATAAGACATTTCTGTTGTTTACTCACCGTCATATTGTCCAAAAGTCATGTGCCGTCTCGCAAATCTAAGGAGAGTTTCTGAAGAATATTCACACACACATTTTCCCTACAAAGATAGTTGACGGTATATTCGAGCGAGTATTTTGTCGCTTATCCAAGTCAACTCTCAAAAAAGTGGGTGCGTGCCTTTAGTGTGTTGCACTTGTCCAGTCGTAATTTCCCCCCTCAGATTTAAAGCATTATTCCAGCTGTTGTCATATACACGACAAACTCGTGTATTCTGAGGAAATATTGCTCTTTAGGGTGTTAGTCACATGTATCTAATTTGGGGTCGACGCCAAGTCTCAATTCAGTTGCTTATGAGTCTCAAATCATTTAGTTAGCGAGTGTGGTCTTCATCTCCGGTTAACCACTACAGCACGCCACACTAACCACACACTAACTAGGTTATTTAGTTTGACCAATTAAACTGAACTCGGCAACAGACGAGCACGGTCCATCGAGTATCACATGAGGATTTCCTTTTCTTTTCTTTTTCTGAAATTGGTGAGTTTCAACCACAGCTTTGTCAACGTTATGTGATGACACTTTAAACATGTTTTGATTGAGTAATTCTAAAACTAATTTTATAGGTAGCGTTTTATGTATCTCAAATACAAAAAGTTAAATTATACCTTCACATTTTTTTGCATAATTTGACAAAATTAGAGATTGGCTGAAAATGGCACAGAATATAAATAGCCTATACTTCACATGTCATGTATCATATTTCATAGGGTTTCTTTGGTAAAAAAGTATACTAAAATAAAATAAATAAATATGCAAAAGTTTTAGGTTATTGCAAATGATTTAGAGAAATATAGCTTTAAATGTAAAAATTTATCTTTTTATAATGGATTTTCAGAATCTGGTACAAGAGTAAAAAGAAAAAAAAACCCGCATTTACAAAGTAGCTTTTTGATAAAGGCATGATAAAAGGTTCCCAAGGCTTTATATAACATGAAAAATTGTTTTAATAAAACTCAACCTCTGGGACATAGGCCAATAGTGACTGAAATCAATAAACATCTACTGAAATTTATCATCACACAGACACCCGCCACCAGGATGATGCTGGAAATGAGGTTTTCACCACGAAACCAGCGGCCGTCCGAGAGCTTCAGGAAACAGGCGGAAGGGAAGATGAACATGAGAGGTATGGCGCTCAAAACCCCCTGAGAGAGACACAGAAACACAACATTTACAGACAACTCTGAATGACTGACTGTTCCCTCATCGGTGTTAATGAATCAAGAGGAAAATTCACATTTAGTTCCAGTACAATACCCAGACAGTCATAAGAGAGCGATATGGCAGTCGCTGCTGATATGATCACCAAGGTAATGATGACGTGGCTGGTGTTACTGAGCTCTCCTTTAAAAAACACATTGGAGATCACCTGGACAGAGTATAGACAACATCAAGAAACGACCAACTTTAAAGAAAGTTAATTAAAAACTAGAACAAGCATCTTTAGTATGTCACACTTTAAAACATATTCAAACATTGCATATGTTTATTAATGAGTCAGGATGAATGTAATGTCATACAGGAAGCTCTGAAAAATGAAATCAAGTGTCTACAGTCTGTCGCATCAAGGTAAAGGAGGATATTAAATGCCTTTTAACTTACCTTTTTAATAAATAATACAAATGTTAAAACCAGAGTCCTACTTGACATTTTTTAAAGTGTTATTTTAGTATCAATGAGATACTATTATAGTTTTTATTCATATTTCGAATATGTTTTTATTTTTATATTTTACATGTTCATTTTCATTTTAAAGTTTTAGTAATTTTGCTATGTGTTTTTTGTCATTTTTGTATCTTTATAAATTATTTTTATTTTAGTTTTAGTTATTTTACTACATTAAGTTAAACTAGCTGACTAGCTGAAATGAAATGTCACACACACACACACATATATATATATATATATATATATATATATATATATATATATATAAAATGTTATTTTAGTTAATGTTAAATATTAATATTTAAATTTAAGTAACAACTTGATTTTTATGGTTTTAATTTTAGTTTTAGTTTCAGTTAACTATATTTAAGAGCGTTTGAATAATTTGGCATTTATAGTTTGCAAATATATTTTTATCAAAGAATCACTTTCCACACTACTGCGTCATTCCCATCTAATGATGAAGAAATGTTTTTTTATTTTATTTTTTCCTTGTTCATTTTAATTTTGGTTAGTTTTGATAATTTTGTTGTGTTTTTGTCATTTTTATACTTTTATATGTTTACATATATGTTTATATAGATTGTATTATTTTTATTTTAGTTTTACTAAATGAAAAGGAGAGATGTTGCCTGAAATAAAAATAGTGTAAGTTTTTTAATATACATTTTATTTCAGTTAATGTTTATTTTATGATTTTTTTATGGTTTAAATTATAGTTAGTTTCATTTAACTATAATAACTTGTAAGCAGTCAATTAATTTGGTATTTAAGTTTACAAATTTAACTTTTATATATAAAAAAAATCAGTGTGCCCAATACTGCTGAAATTCCCATCACAACAAGTATCGTAGAGAACAATATATATTTAGTTATGATGGAAAATCCACTTAAAGGTTGATCAAGGCAACAGATTTTCATTTCAGGACATGATAAATGATTTAACATGTTTTTTTTTAAGCTTTCAAGTAGTCAAAAACCCCTCTAGCTGAATAATCACCCATACTGTATACAGTATGAAAGCTTAAATTCTTCAATTCTGTATCTTACCTCACGGGTTACAAAGCACTCCAGAGGGAATGTGGTGATCATACTGACACCGTAGCAGAATCGACCGAATGTAGCCAAGTTATCATTTCTGTAGTAGTTCTCAAATACCTCACCTTGGACAAGAAATACAACAGGAAAACATGCAATTCTTTTAGTGCTTTTTGTACCCTATGGCACAGATTTATCAAAGTGGTGCAGATATTGTGACCCAGTATTTACGGTAATTTACCTTGTGTATAATCAGTAAAAGTCGCATAACCTGCAGCGGCAAAGACAGCACTGACCAGTACGGCTGAGCCCACAGATACATGAGTGACAAGAGACCAGCTGCTCAGCGTGGGCTCCTGCAGCGACCCGTAGATCATAAAGCTGTTGTGGTGGCAGATAAAAGCTGAAAAATATCAAATACGTCAAAGTTTCAGTTGTACAATGTACTTTAATTGAAATATGTTGTTCATCACAAAAGTAAAACCTCACCGAAAGACATGACGGCAACTGCCCGAATTGCATTCCACCGTGTAAACACCCATGCATCATCTGACGCAGGTCTGTGGGTGAAATAAAAATGTGAGTAACACATAAAGCTAGTTATTCATTTTATAAATAACTATTTTTGATGTTTGTTCATGCCCATGCAAACACCACTGCCAGGGTGTTTATGGTAAATGTAAGATTTTTAAAGACCAATTAAAGAAAAATCAAGGAATTAATTAAAGGGAACACAATACGTCAATATGTTCTCTAAATGTAAATGTCTACGAAAACAAGTTTTAATTCACCATTGACAGATATTTGTTCTTGTTTTAAGCATAAACTCAATTTATCAAAAAAAACAACAACACTTCATATCTTCATTTTGCATCTCAAATAAATGTATTTTGATTTAAGGATATTTAGATATTGGAAAACAAGACAAAAATACTGACAAAGATGATAATTTTTTGCAGTGCATGCAACATTTAATGCCATGACTTATGAAATGTAAGATGTTCTGCTCCAATTTGTGGAGAGGAAACTTTTAAGATGTATTTAAGACCTGCAGAAATCCTGTTTTTGCCATGTTTTTAGAGTCAAGAGAGACACATTCCCAAGTCTCCATGATATTTAGATCCCTAGAAAATGCATTGTACTGATTGTTTTTTGTTTTTTTTGCCTGTTTTTTATCTGCTTGGTGAAAAATCACACATTCAATCCTGGTTTCACAAGGGTTAGGGGTCTGCTTTATCAAGCATCACAATATATATGTACACTGTAAAAAAAATCGGTGACATTTACGGTAAAATACCGGCAGCTGTGGTTGCCAGAACTTCACCGTAAAAAATATGGTAGCAACATTTTAGGTTTTATAGACTTAACTTAAATTCACAATAAAATACCTTATTTCATTAACTGATGTAATGTTAAACCAACGTATTGAAGCACTAATATCTGTTTTGAACCATTGTAATGCACTGATAACCACCAAAAACTGGTGGTAATGGGAAAGTAACACAATGAACCAAAGCTCATCACAAACAGCTTTTCTACGAGCTGAGGAGGACAATATAGAAGGTGCACAGTGTCATTCACACAAACACTAAAACCCATCAAGGTGACACTCATCATACTGAAATAATGCAATAAACATTGATTTAACAACATTAGATGTAAGATTAAACCCTAATGTACACAACTGATAAGAAAAAACTAAGAAGAAACATGTTATTTCAACAACAAAAAAAAACATCAAATATAAAGTGTCATGCAGGGAATTCTGGGAGTGTCAATTTACGTTTTTTCACTGTAAATTATACAATTACTTTTTCTTTTTCACTTCCAAAAACCTTATTTTTAACAGTATTTTACTGTAAAATTACATTAAATGTAATTACATTTATTCACCGAATATAGTATGGAAACTTACTGTTAACCAGTTAACAGGTTTTTACTGTAGCATTTTTACAGTCTTTTGCTGTTAAAATCACAATCATTTTTAACAGTGTATACTGTTTCACTGCATTGTGACACTACATGCCTTGTTATATACAAACTTAAGGCCAAAAATATGATGGAAAGTCAAATAAAAAAATTAAGCTCAGTGAGATCATTTCTCAGAAATGAGTGTTTAAAGGGTAAATCATTATCCTGAGCTGAGACAGCAAACATTAGCATATGGTGGATGGTATTTAATACACGAGTTTCACAATTTGAGTTGAATTACTGAAATAAATTAACTTTTCCACGACATTCTAATTTATTGAGATGCACCTGTATGCACACAGGGAGGGAGATTTTATACATCTGTGGTCCTAGTGTCGCTGCTCTCACGACCACTGTGATGAGGATGGCAAGAGTCAAAAGCATGGACAATAAAGATACCTAGAACAGAGAAAGGGAGAGAGTTCATTATTGTCCGTTTTAACTCTATAAAGCCTACAGTGTCCTATTCGATATGCAAATTGCTGAGGCCTCTAAATGATCCACGTGATCAAACTTTGCTGAAAAAAATTGTTTGATAGTTTAGACTTTTTTAGCAAGCAAAAGGTACAAAAGTCCAACATCAGCTTGTAGTTCACGTGTATTTTTGCTGTGAAATCTTTACTGATTTTTATAAAGTAAACATAAGAATAACTTGTATCGCTACTAATATTTCAAGATGAACACTAGACTGAAGCAGCTTAGGTTTGCTTGATTATCCATACATACAGTAATTTTATTTTTATTTATTTTATTTTATTATATTTATTTATTTATAAAAATCATGTTGAAATGTGAGTATGAAATATGATCATCAGGCTTTTGAGGAACGTTTATTTGTTCATTATTGTATTGCATTGCATTAATTGACACTACAGAACTTTGATTATAAAACTAAACATTTAAATATCATCTTACTAAGACATATTGGGAGATATGGAGTGACAAATGATATTTATATAATTTTATGTAAGTAGTCTGTTATACTGTTATAAAGATCGCAGTGATATATATTACATGCTATCAGAATTTCATATTTTTGGTCATATAAATATCAGCATCTGCACCAAATATTTTTTCTCAGTTTGGGCCTCTGAATAAACTTGAGGTGTTTTTCCTCCTTGAGTATTAGCTTCATATTCTCACTATACTTACATTTACATTTATGCATTTAGCATTTATATACTATATCAGCCATAAAAGCCTGATGTATCAAATATAATACTCAACAAAAAACACATGCAAACATTTCTTTTTCGATTTTGTCTAAAGTTTCAATAAACTTATTCAATAAATAAATACATACATAGACGGACGGACGGACAGACAGACGGATAGACAGACAGACAGACAGACGGATAGACAGACAGACAGACAGACAGACAGACAGACGGACAGACAGATAGACGGATAGACGGATAGATGGATAGATGATGGATAGATAGACAGACAGACAGACAGACAGACAGACAGACAGACAGACAGACAGACAGATGGATAGATGATAGATAGATAAATAGACAGACAGACAGACAGACAGACAGACAGACAGACGGATAGACGGATAGATGGATAGATGGATAGACGGACAGACGGATAGATAGACAGATGGATAGATGATAGATAAATAGACAGACAGACAGACAGACAGATAGATATAGACAGACAGACAGACAGACAGACAGACGGATAGACGGATAGACGGATAGATAGACAGACAGACGGATAGATGATGGATAGACAGACAGACAGACAGATAGCTTTTTTTAATCCCTTTTAGAGCCTGAATCAGACGTGATCATTATTAAATGCTGTTATGAAAAATTTTCTTTTTGTGTTCCACAAAAAAAAAAAAAGATGATTGAGATAAGAGTGAGTAAATAACCGCTGAATAGATATTTTGGGTGCAATATTTTATTAAAGCTACAGATCACTAATAATTACATTGTGGAAAAAATACAGTAAATAGTTGGTAATACTCAACCTTTCCCAGCTTTGCTATATCTCTATAGAGAGACAGCGGGAGTGTAAACAGAAGCGTGGACATCAGAATTACAAAATGTCTCTCTGTAAGAATGTTTCCAGGACCAACTAGAACAACAAAGAGCACAAGTGTCAGGTTTCTGTTTTTATCAATATGTTCACAGAGAAAAAAAAGGAGAGAGAATGCACTCATACAAATAAAAGTTCCAAAAGGTGGTTTTCACAGCGATGCCATTGAAGAACCATTTTAAAGGTTCTTCATGAAACCATCAGTGTCAATAAGAACCTTTGTTTTTAAGAGTGTTCTGTAAAGAACATTTTAATTAATCCAAAGAACCTTTTATGGAATGGAAAGGTTCAATGGATGTTAAAGGTTCTTCATGAAACCACAGATGCCATGTGTATGACATCTAGACCCAAGATGAATGAATTTAAATGGGACAAATCATGTGTTTATTGTACTATGAAAACATGCTGTAACTTTTGGAAATCAAAACTTCTAAAATCCATTGATTAACACAAAATGATCCACATTTGCTTTTCAATCATGACTATGTAGTGTTCAGAATCATAATAAGGCAAATGCAGATACTATTATGCCATGAATGAAAGCGGCAACAAATTGTGTCTCATTTCATATGCTGTCTATAGTACATAGAAGTCTTAAAGGTACAGCAGCAAAAAAGACAATAAAAATTGAATGCTATGACCTCTTCAAAAAGTACATGTAATAATATCCAGCTCACCTCCTTGGATTCTCATAAACACTTTGGTCAGCGTATCACCTGTGATGATGTTGTAGCTGATCATTGCTATATGCGAGATGCAATAAAGGCAAAAATATATATTCTTTAAAATCTAATTTCACCTATAAATACAATAAAAGGTAATTAGGACAGATAGTAAATGTCTGTGATTACTGATGAATGGGTAAAGAAATTGTAGAGCTGACACGATCAAATATCCTATCTGGCCGAATGTGCTATGAACCAGAGACTGATAACTGTGAGTCCCAGACAGATTCCCACCTCTGACCAGCAGGATGATGGAGTAATCTGCAGAAAGAAACACGATACAATACAACAATTTATATACAGTATATATAAAGTTTTAAAAAAAATTAGACAGTTATGTGTAAAATACTTTATGCATTGGTTATAAAGAAAGCATAGCCGTGCTATGTTAAAGGCGTAGTTCACTCAAAAAATGACATTTTGGTCATCATTTACTCAACATCCTGTAATTTAGATCCCAGTCTTTTTTTAACCTGTGAAATGCAAACGTTGGGTGGAATATCTGAGCTGCTCTTTTTCATGGTGAGGAAAGCATTACAGAATATATTTATGGTGAAATATTATGGAGATTTACTGTCAAGGAGACAAAAGCGCCATAAAACTATCACAAAGTTGTCCATATGAATATAGGATACATTTTTTGCGCTCAGTGTTAAGCTGCTAGTTTACACCAATACAAAACGGTGTATCATTTCCATAGCAACAACTCTTTACTTCAGTGTCCACTTTCTGTAGCGCAGCTGCCAAATTTCCCATGAAAACAATGGCAAGTATTTAGACACGATAACGCACAGTATGCTTTTTCTTATTTCGAAAAAATAATATGAATGCTTCATGTTTGATGATTGGCTGCGGTTGGTTTGAATGCCACATTTCGAGTTTATTCAATGCTCATAATATCCACGTGGATTTTTTTGCTCCTTGGGAAACTAATGATAATGATAATCAAATATGTCATGAATGTCATGTGGCATTCAATTAATGACATATTTTAAAAATTATGTATGGGCTAATGTGGGCTGTTATATATGGGTTAAAATGCATGCTTTTAAAATATATATTATAAATAAAATATAGCCTATAATATACAGCACCATTCAAAAATGTCAGTAAGATATTTTTTAATGGTTTTGAAACAAGTCTCTTCTATTCAGTAAGGATGCATTTATTTGATCAAAAATACAGTAAAAACAGTAAATTTACCATTTGAAAGAACTGCTTTTTATTTGAATTTATTTTAAAATGTGTTTTTCCTCTCATGCTATAGCTCCATACTCTAAGTATGAGTGTCACATGATCCTTCAGAAATCATGCTGATTGCTGCTCAAGAAACATTTCTTATTATTATTATTATGGCTGGCACTACCACACTGACATAAAAAGCAAGATTTGAAATGTAATGGATATGTTTCCCATCTTTCTACTTGGTATTTGTAAGCAAACTTTTAAATAGTCTCACAAAATCATGAAATATAGTAAAAAAGGGCTTACATTTCTTCCATTTGCATGTATACCACCAAAATTACCATGTCCACTATGTCAGAAAAAAAGGAAATTCAATAGATTCTCAAAAAACAGGGTATTTTCTAAAACTAAGGGATAAATATTGGGATAAATAAGGCTAATTGAAAACATCCAAACATATCACAGCAGTAAACAGGGTGTTCAAGATTTCCAGGAATGGAAGCGCAAACTAAAATCTCTTCTGTAAAAATTGCCCTATGGATATATTCAAAATATGGAAGTCTCTTCAAATTTGGATCAACAAGGTTTATCAGATCTCAACATCGCCAAAGCTGTAGCAAAGAAAATCACCAACATGCTTAAAAACTCTATAAATAAATGTTATTACACTTATTTTCAAAAAAAAAAAAATGACTGTAAAAAAGTACTTTTTTGATCAATTTAATGTATCCTTGAATTAAAGTAATTTCTTAAAAATAGTAATGACCCCATACATTTGAATGATACTGTAAATATAATAACAGTCCTCATTATAAACACAAAATAATATTCAACTTTAATAGTCAGTGAAGACAATTAGACTATGTTTGAGGGACCTGGATAATGGGTAGGGGGCACTGGCCCAAAAAAGGTTGAGAACCACTGATCTAGATGCATATTTAACATTTTGTGCACATGTGCAGTGCATACCTGTGATGAAGGCAACCAGAATAAGCAGCAGGAGACCCATTGGCAGACCGGCCTGACTCAAGGAATATGGCAGACCTAGATGAACATTTAACCAAGAAATAAGAGATGTGGAGGACTTGAAATAGATACAAATGTGACAACTAGCCCCAGTCTCCCCTACAGGGAAAGACCTGCTGACTAACTTTTTTTTTTTGATCAAGCAGGTGATAGAGCACAAAAATAGCTACTGACAAAAATGCATAAATTAAAATGTATTGCTGACATTTTCTGGACCCAAAGATATATCATAGGACTAGAAAAATATATATTTTTTCCTGCAGCAGAAGCATGTGAAGGCTGTTCTGCAGTCATATGATCCTGCACTGCGTGGAATCTAAGCCAGTTCTCAGATCTACTGACCTACTAAAATACATACATATGTGACTAATAAGAAACTAATGAACATGATAGCATCCAAACATCAGCAAGCATAGACTTAATTTTCTATACAGATATTGCACTGACTACTATATCTTGCTTTAACTATCCTGTTTTATTTAAAATAAGTAAAGGGCAATCAACCCCAAAGAATAAATAAAAAATTACAAATATATATATACGTATATATATATACTGTCAGCCAAGAGTTATACAGTCATCAAACTATGAAATAACACAAATGAAACTATGGGAATTATGTATAGTGACCAAAAAAAAAAAAAGTAAACAAATCTATTTTACACAAATGTATTTTATCTATTTTGTATATATTAAACTTAAAGTTTACATGTACACTTGATGATGCTTTTCCCTCAACATCCACTTCAACTAATCAACTTAAAATAATAATAATAATGATAATAATAATAATAATAACAGCAATAATGATAACAATAATGATAATGATAATAATATCAATAATAATAATAGTTTTGTAACCAAATTTACATATACAATTTACATTTGTCAACATGTTTTTAAGATCAAGAGGAACATATATTCAGTTCAGTGTGTCCAAACTTTTGACTGGTACTGCCTGTATGTATTTATTCATTTTATATGTATGTTATTTTCTAGAAGCATTGATAACAAAACAATACCTATAATTCCGGATCCTATAATGGAATTGATTAAATTAAATGAAGCCGAGGACACTGAACTAGTTTTCCCCATGTCCTTATGTGAAGACAACAAACAATCCCTGTCACCGTCCATCTGTAAAGACAAAAACTCACATCAGCAGAATGTTCAATATGTTCAATATATCTCATGAATGATCAGAAAAACTGCAAACTCACCTGTCGAACAGTGCCGCTTTTCTCTCTTTTGTGGTTTTCCATTAAAAACAAGCCTTCTGAGATGTCCTGCTGCACTAGATGGAGGTTCCCCATGTCATAGACTCCAGCAGCAGTAAAAGTGCTCCACCTGATTCATTCAGTCCACCCGCAGAATAAAAATACGCCCCTTGTTGTGTTTAAGCATCGGCTGCAGGCTATTTGAAAAGCTGTTTCTGCATGAAGAACTTAATCTGTGTTTGACACACAAAGCCACTTAAACCGTATTATAGCTGCCGGACCAACATTTGCTCAACAGTCTCACTTTATTGGGAAATAGTGGAAAGTAACTGAACTCGGCACAAATGTAACGAAACAAAATGCACTCGGATAGATAGATAGATAGATAGATAGATAGATAGATAGATAGATAGATAGATAGATAGATAGATAGATAGATCCTTGAGCAAGTGTCCACAGTCTTCCTGAGTGTGAAACAAAACAATGCACAACTTAGATAATTAGATACATAAGGTGCATCGGGATATTTTATGTTATGTTATGTTATGTTATGTTATGTTATGTTATGTTATGTTATGTTATGTTATGTTATGTTATGTTAAGTTAAGTTAAGTTAAGTTATGTTATGTTATGTTAAGTTATGCTATGTTATGTTATGTTATGTTATGTTAAGTTATGTTATGTTATGTTATGTTATGTTGTTATGTTATGTTATGTTACGTTATGTTACGTTAAGTTATTTTATGCTATGTTATGTTAAGTTATGTTATGTTATGTTATGTTATGTTATGTTGTTAAGTTACGTTATGTTACGTTACGTTGTTATGTTATGTTATGTTATGTTATGTTATGTTATGTTAAGTTATGTTATGTTGTTATGTTATGTTATGTTATGTTGTTAAGTTACGTTATGTTACGTTACGTTGTTATGTTATGTTATGTTATGTTATGTTAAGTTATGTTATGTTGTTATGTTATGTTATGTTATGTTGTTA